AAAGATATCCAGGACTTTCCTTATCTGTCAGATGTGAACTGGGATGCTGTTCTTCAGAAAAGGATAATGCCAGAATTCATTCCCACAGTAAGGCCACTTTATTTAAAGCACAGTAAATCACTGTATCTGATCTTTTTCTAATTGAAGTAGCACAGAAGTAACATAACCCTTCTGGAAAAAAATCCAGGGACCATTCCGTGCCACCCTACTGCAATTGCTTTTCTCTGAAAGCCAATCAAACAGTGGGCTAAACTGTGAACATTGGCTAATTGCAGGTATTGTCCTCTCTGTTGGTTTTCCCTTGGTCAGGGTACATGTGTATTGCTTTCAAACAGTTTTGCAGGCTACAGTGCTACCTCCGAACGTTTTGCAACCCACTGGAAGCCGACAGCCCACCCACCAAGAAACGTTCTGGCTTTCACTTCAAAGCAGCCAGTGGGTTGAGTATAAGCAATAACCCCCAAAGAGCAGGTAATTTCTAAAATGATACAAACCTTGGCAATGTCCCCCCTTGCTGGGGGAACTGATAAAATAAAGCTAATAAAATAGGTAAGCAACAGGCACTCCGGCTATGTGTGTAGTTGTAAGTAGATTATATTTTTTCCAAATTCAGTTCTCACTTTCCAGTTTGTAAGAGCCTCTTTAAGACAGGGATTGATCACTTAAGACAACCTTTCTTTTTCCTCCAGAAAGGCAGACTGAACTGTGACCCAACCTTTGAACTTGAAGAAATGATCCTAGAATCCAAACCTCTTCATAAGAAAAAAAAACGCCTGGCTAAAAAGGAGAAAGATACCAGCAAGAGCAGTTCCTCACAGGTGAAAGAATTTCTTTAGTAATGTTATTTAAAGGTCAGCTGCAGTTCTGAATAGCTTAAATATTTTATCACAACCTCAGAACAGCGCTTTCAAATACAAAATTGAATCTTTTTTATTACCTGAGGACACTAAGCAGCGTGTCCTTTACTGCTGCAGGTGACAAGATTGTTGTGAGAGGCCACAGTTCCTGCTCTGCGCAGTGGACAGTGGGTTTGGATTAGGAAGCCAGTATGCCTTGTGAATAATTATTCAAAAAGGAAAAGGAGATGATGGGTTGGAAATGTTTTATTTTCAAAGGAGGCTTGTTGGTCAAACCACCCCTTGTCAGACTGAACGGCCTCTCGGGGTTTGACCAGGGTGGTTGTAGTCATCCACTCCATATCCCAGCACAGCATCTCCTCGGCACCAGAGCCTTCCTGGCCTCTCCCATGTCTTTGCCTTTCCTCACACAATGGAAAACCTCTTTGCTCCAGCCTGGCTTCCTTTCACCTCCCTCCTCCAGGGTACATAGCCCTAAACTTAACTCTCAGCACTAAAAGGCCAGTTTTGTAGCCAGGTCAGAGGGGAGAATTCCCTGAGGGTTGTAAAACACTCTTGTCTGCCAGTTCGCACAAACTCCAAAGTAGCCTTCAATTGTTGGTTGGCCAACTCCCACACATCAGTACAAAGAAAACCTTGCCCATTTCCCTGATGGTTTTTCAACATTCTTTCTATGCAATATAAGAAAACCTTGCCCATTTCCCTGATGGGCAGGACACAGATGGTTTTTCAACATTCTTTCTAAGCAATAACAGACTGTAGCAAGGTGCAGCATCTCAAGGGTGCTACTTGGTGCCACGGGTTTGTTGTAGGAGTTGCTCAAAGGTGATGAGCTGTGTCGGCAGGGAGTTATGGGGTGCCTAGATGGCGTTGGTGCTAGGGTCAAGGCTGGCACCTGCGCTGCGCAGGGCGCCCAAGCCGGGCAGCTCTCGCAGCCATGGCGCCAGGGTGGCATGTGCTGCTCCAGGCCGCATGCCAGCTGCGCTCGCAGTGCCCTTGCTGCAGTGCCTGCCGCTCCGCGCTGGGCTGCAGTGAGCGCAGCCCCCTTGCAGCTGAGCTCAGCCGCAGCACTGCTGTGTCAGTCCCGCTGTCCTCGCACGGCTGCGCCTCAGGCCCACGCGGCCACGGAGCCGCCCGCCTGCTCACCCGAGCCCAGGGCAGGAGCCGGGCTCCACGCCTGCATCTGCCCTGCGAGCGCCTCCCAGCCGCCTGGCTGAGACGCCCTTGCCGTGCCCAGGACACAGCTGCAGACCCGCACAGACCCCACGAAGAAACTTCACGTGCGTCTCTGCAGCGCTCCCATTTCCGCCCCCGCTGTCTGCAGTGTCTTTTCTGTGCCGTAGGCGCCACGGGGATGAGGGTGTTGTTTGGCACATCCTGCAGGGTGCACAGCCCTGGCGCCTGCTTCCACAGCCGTTACACACGCTTCTCTTTCTCTATATGCAGTACAGGAAAAGAGAGGATGGAAAACCACAGAAGAGCTCTGTGGCATTGCCATATAGCTTCTACTTTTCATGAAAATATACCTGTAAATAAACTGTGTCTGTGAGAGAAAGCTGTCAGATTGAAACACTCAGGTGCAGTTTGGGGAACTGTGGCAAAATCTAAGAACCTTGGGGAAAACAAACTCATTATTTATCACTTTGACAACTTGAATTTCTTCCTTTAACATAGACTGTAGGAATTTGCATTCCCCAGATCTGCCTGAACTGCTGTGCTGTTTGGCCATTCCCTCCCGCACGGTAACATGCTGCAGAAATCGCAGTGCTGAGACGAGCCCGGCCGTGTGCGGTGTGTGGGAGCGCAGCGCCCCGGCGGGCGGCGGCACAGCCTGGGCTCCCACGTCCCTCCCTGCCGCTCCCTGCACACGGCCGCGGAAGCAGCTCCGGAGCCGCTGCCCTGTTTGCGGTGTATTGACCTGTGCGTGTGCAACAACGTCTGGTGCGCAGCCTGAGGCCTCGAAGCCTTCACTGCGCTGAACTGTTCTCAGCATGTGCAGAATTGTTAGGTTTTCTCCAATAGCAAAATCCCCGTGCAAACAAGATGTGTAATTTGAAGTGCATATACGCACTGGTTTTAAATGCGAGGAAGGCAAGGCCTAATGCCATTCTCCCAACTGCAGTACTAAAGACACTCTATATCTAATGACATCTATTGCCTTGAAGTTGTCCTTGCAATATCAGTTTTGTGTTAACTGGAAATTTATTCATTTTCGCATCTTTCTCTTTCCTGCCAATGTGGAAGGCCTGCCATCTTCAAAAGCACCTAGAGATACTCCAGAGGGACTTCATCATTTTCAACAGAGAGAAGTAAGTGCTGATGTGACCATGCTGGGCGGGCACATGGAGGAGGCAGCACTGACAGCACCGCAAGGCACTGGCATGAGAGCAGAGCCCAGATCCCACGCAAGCACCTGCCCATGCAAATCGTTCCCACTTTCGCCGTGGTCCTCTTGGGGCTGGAGTGGGGGTGCCAGCCCTCTGAAATGAGGCGCAAACTCGTGCCACTGGGTCTGTAGCAAGGCACATTGCTTCCCTCAGTGCAGCTAAGTGCTGGTCTGTGGTGCGGACCCTGGGCCAGGACCACAAGGCTGGGAAGGGGTGCAGACCGTGGCAGAGCTGGGCCCCGCGGTCACAGTGATCCTGCTGGGATAAGGGCTTCTCCTGTGAGCCTCTCCCATGACTGGTCCCCAGAGCAGCCTGCAGGGTCCCTGTGGAAAGAGCCTGGAGCAGGGGCAGCTCCAAAGCAGCCAGGAGAGAGAGGTGCCGACGGGGCTCAGAGCAGAGCTCGCTCCCCAGGGAGAGACTGCAGCAGGGCCCAGCAGGCTCACATGCCGCCCGAGGACAGCGTGTTTGCATGCCGGGGGGGGGGGTTCCTCACAGTTTCAGTGCCCCTTTATTTCCCAAAGGGTGAGACACCACCACAATGACAGCCAGGAGAGCGTGACCATGACAAAAAGCAGAGACGTACGTAAGGAGGACAGCCAGAACAACAACATCTGAGACAAGCACAGCTGGCGCCGCTGGGCGCTCACGTCTGGGCAGCGCCGACTCGCTGCCCCAGACCTGCTGCCCACCCAGCGCGTGGCTCGACAGCTGCAGCGGCACCTGCGCCTTGTCCCAACACTTTGCACAGTCAAAATCATCTCCTTTTTGTGTTTTGCCTTTCTTGGTGCCAGGAATGTGACTGTGTGAGAACAGATGGGCATGAGAGGAGTGTTGCCCCTTGCAGGCAGCACGGCTGGTGTCCGCGGGGCAGCGTGTGGGGCGGGGGGAGAGCCGTCCTTGCCCGCGTTGCTCGGCCGTGGGCTCTGGGCGCAGCAGGTCAGGGGCAGCAGCTCCCCGGGGCAGGGGCTTGCAGGTGCACATGTCCAGGTGCACATGTCCGGCGCCCGCACTGCCCAGGACTGCTCCTGCCACCTCCGTGCCCAGCAGTCGCGTTCGCTGAGGGGCCCTGGGGCCTCACTGCTCCCTTCCCGCTGGGCTGCGGGGCACTGGGCAGCGTCCTGCCCGCCAGCCCGCGGTGGCGCAGGACAGGCGGCTGCGGCCCC